CCTCCAGGCACAAATGACTGCAACACAGATCGATCAGCAAGAAACACAAGACAAATAAAAAAAAACGAACCTGAAGAGAACAGCAGTCAGTATGTATCGTCTCCAAAGCCAAACAAAGAGAAGAGACTGTCCATGGTCATCTTGTGTTCGCTGTTAACTGAGGGAGCTTGGAGGTGTCACCAAGCGTAAGGATGTGGCTGTTCATCTTCACGTGCAAGATCCCACACCGCCCACCGTGATGGTTCTCAAGGATTTACTTGGAGTTCATCAAGTGGAAGACATCGTGATTCACAGCAGCCAAGTTGTGGCGGACTGGGAACTCCTGGCACTGAAGCCAAGCTATGAATGCTACCGAGTGCTGTTCGACTTGCTCTTCTTTTTTCCTGGTCGCATTTTTTCACGCGTGAGAAGTAGCAATGCCTGATCTTTGTCAAGTTCTTATTGAAAATCAACTGCATGACTACTAAGTTTCACGAAAGATGAATTGGTACCTCTTGTGGTTTTGCGAGTCACGATGTTGATGCTCGTCCTTGTGAGTTTTCTGCACAGGTTCCACTGGAGCTACCGCCACATAGAGAGGAGACTGGAGTCCTCTCGCTCCTACCTCTTTGAAATAGAGAGAAAAGTTTATGGTTAGAGTCAAGGACAGCATGAAATCCTGCACCGGCGCCAGGAATTTGGAGAGAGGGAGGAGGATCCACATCCACACAGGATATGGCTCCAATCCAATCCTCGTGTGGCCAGTAGCTTGATCAACATGTATGGGAAATGCAGAAATGGAGGCTCGATGGGTTTTCGATCGAATCCAAGACAGGGTTGTAGTGGTCTGCGTTTCATTTGAGTGTTTTGCGTTGATCTTTCCCATCAAGAGTGGACAGCCATGATTCTTTCTTGCCTTAGATCTCTTTTCAAGATGATTCGTGTAAAAAGATGTGAGCTCTACTCTTACGTCCCCCATGCGCTGCTCCAGATGCTGCTAGCTTCGTGCCCGAGCCTAGAGGTTTTGAACAGTGTAACTCTTGCGTTGTGGACACGCGATGTGACAACCTTCGTAAGTTGGCGTTATATGGACACTGGAAGGTGGATGCCATCGCCAATCTCTCCCAGTCTCGCCTATGGTTTTGAGGCTTGCGCTCCAATGCATTGACAGTGAACACAAGATGACCATGGACAGTCTCTTTTCTTTGTTAATCTGGAGACAATACAACTGTTTCTTAATGTGGATCTTGACTATTCTTCTTTGTTTTTTTTTTCTTTGTTAAATCTTATTGATTGATTTGTGTTACAGTGATTTGTGCCCACAAATAAATCATTTGTGCCCGGAGGTGTCACCAAGCGCGAGGATGTGTCTCTACATACAAGATCCCACACCCCCCAACATGGTCTCCCAGTGATGTGGAGCTCCTGAATCGCGGTGGAGTACGCTGCTCCCCATTTGGTCCCATGGAGAGCTTCGAGGGAGAGCTTTGTGAGGGAGCCAACAGCAGTGACTATCTGGTCATCACCATCCTTGCTATACTCGAGCACAACAGTGAGTTCCTTGAGGCAGCTGGGAGCCTTGTACTTGGCACGGTGGAGAATGCTGGAGATTATATCCTGCTCCTCTGTGTAATCATCCACCTCCACGCTTTGCCCTCCAAACTATAATGAAAATGGCGCCCAGGCTTAAAAAATTTTAAGCTGCTGCTCGAAATGCATCTCAGCTCACGGCAAGCAATGTGGATTTTTGAGGCAAGGAAGACTGATCTATAAAGATTCCTTCTTTCTTTGCAGATCACAAGCGATCTTGCCATGAAATGACTTTGATTGTTTAGGGTTTAGGAAGAAGAAATTCACATAAGAAAAGTTCTGCCAACTTCAAGGTCTAGGCGAAGCCACGTATGACGCGCTATTCACAAGAAGACTTTGAACTAGTCGCGTTATGTATTGTAGGTCAAGAGGGTCTTTTTCCTATATAAATGATATCCAAACTTCCATTCTACTTGAGAGCTCGAGAAATAGGCAACGAACACATCCCTATACACGCAGGATCACGAAAATGGTGCTATTTGGCGGAGAGGTAGCGCCAACTCAGAGGAGCGGCTTGCTTCTTCTTCTTTCTCTATTCCTGCTGCTTGCGATCTGGATCCCAGGCGGCGGTTGTAGCAGCGGTGTAGATTCATCCTATGAGGTCACCCAATACGGGTATGAAGCTCCTGGATCGATCCAGCGGATGATCCAGCCAGCGATTGGGTCAATTGGACGACGGTGGCTACTGGAGCAATCCAAATCCAGCAAGGAAACGATCACGCTCTCGCACGAGGCGATCGCTGGGCTCGTGGTGGGACTGTTCCTCGCGATTGCCTTAGTGGTTCTTGCGGTCTATGTGTGCCGGACGCGCAAGTACGTCGCGCAGCGGCAGGAGGCGTCGCAGGCGAGAAGGAGAGCGGCGAAGCTGGGCGGGGCGGGGGTGGATCTCGAGGCCTATTCAGAGGAGGGCAGCAGCAGTGGCGGCCGCTCCTTCATGCCCACTCCACAAAGACCTCTGTTTCCATCCAGCACTGGAAGATGAAGAAAGAAACTATTCGATTTGAGCCATAGACCAGAGCAATGTAAAGATACTTGATTTTTCTTGCGAATCAGCGTTGTATAACACTTTATTTATGATTGTCAATTCGAGGGGGAGGTACACCTCCATAGGGGTGGGTGGTGCCTGGCAATTTACAAATAACATATTTCATTATTTGCCACATTTAGGGCTTGGTTTAAGCCATTTTCTAAGTTGATAGCAAGAAAATGCTCTTATCAAAGCTTAATGCTCCAAGCCAGTCTCCTCAAAGACCTTGCTCGATAAAATGCCACAATTTCATCACGTTGATGGCACACAAGCTTTCTGTCCACTATTCTAAGACTGTCGATATCACCCAAGAACTGGAGAGCCCTTCAGCACAAGAAGTCCACAAGCCAGCTGTCCATAGATCAGGGCGTCCCAGTGAATTCTAAACCATGGATCATTCCTAAACGTCCAGAATCTGAAAATGAAGCAAAGTTAACCAATCGATTCCTGAATCTCGTGCTTGATCAAAATCCCAAAGCCAACTAGTTTTTTGCTCTTGATCAGTATCCCAACTCTATGTGCTAGTGAAAAGGACAGGGCGATTAAATTTATTCTTACCCCTATGCACTAGTCAAAAGGAGAATAGATGGGATTTAACAACTTTCTGCAAAAGTAGCAAGTCAAGCATGAAGTGTCTAAGCAGATTGACGAGGTGAAGGGGAGATTTCTTGGGAAGTATCTAAGCTTTCTTGACAACTCAGGATAATGCAAACCAGATGCAACCAGGTTTTCAAGTTTTTTACTTGTTGTTTTCTTTGATCTTGATATATCAAGGATTCTAAAGCCACCATCAAAACATATTCCAAGGTTTGTTTGACGAGTGCGAGCAGCGAGACTCTCTGCTCTACACAATGATGATGAGAGGTTAAGCTCATTTTTGACAAAATATCACGCACATCCTGTGCTGGAGACTGGAACTCGGTTCTCATGGCCTTTGTAAAACACAGGAGTGGCTATCTGGTAAACCAGAACAAGATACAAACATCAGGAACTTGCTACAATTCTTCATGGCCTCTTATTGGTAGCCACAAAACACATTGCTGGCTACATGGCCCGAAGAGAGCAGTCTCATTCTGGGATGGGAAGTCAAGCGCCAAGCGCTAGCGATTTGGAGAAGACTACCATGGAATTGGAGAGGACCCTGGTAGTTTAGTGCCGAGTCTTGCACTGGTGTGAACTTTATAATTGAAAGGCTCATGCTCAGCCCCCCATCCCCTTGTTGCAAACCTATATGCACTGAGCAGTAGCAAATCAACATGAGTACTACATGCAGGTGTCAAATTAATTTATGATTGTCAATTCGAGGGCAGGTACACCTCCAAAGGGGTGGGTGGTGCCTAATTTACAAATAACACATATATATTTCATTATTTGCCACATTTAGGGTTTGGTTTAAGCATCTATAAAATGCCACAATTTCAGCACGTTGATGGCACACAAGCTTTCTGTCCACCATTCTAAGACTGTTGATATCACCCAAGAACTGGAGAGCCCTTCAGCCCAAGAGCTTTCAAGAAGTCCACAAGCCAGCTCTGTATAGATCAGGGCATCCCAGTGAATTCTAAACCATGGATCATTCCTAAACGTCCAGAATCTGAAAATGAAGGGAAGTTAACCAATTGATTCCTGGAGCAAGATCGCCACTCTTGTTTCTCGTGCTTGATCAAAATCCCCACCACCGCCGGTTGAGTCGCCACCACACCATCACAAATCTCCATCACCGCCAGTTGAATCGCCACCACCTCCTTACCGTTACAAGTCTCCACCACCTCCACTAAAGTGTGAAAAATCTGCCACCCAAGTCTCCGCTGCCACCACTACCACCACCACCGAAGTTCCCGCCACCACCACCGCCAAAAATGTGAGAAATCCCCACCGCCACCACCACCAAAATGCGAGAAGTCTCCACCATTGCCACCTCCGTACGAGTACAAATCTCCACCACCACCACCACCAAAATGTGAGAAATGTACACCATCGCCAGCTCCATACAAGTACACATCTCCACCACCACTGCAGTCTCCACCTCCATCGCCACCGTATAAATATGAGTCGCCACCACCACCACCACCATATGTGTATAAATCCCCACCACCATACTGCTGCCGCCACCACATCACCACCACCGTAAATCCCCACCTCCACCATCGCCACCAATCTACTGGTACCAATCACCACCGCCACCATCAACACTCAAAGAGTAAATTTGTGTCCCCTGAAATTTTTTTTTTGTCCGGAGCTCCTCGCGCTCGGTGGCGGACTACAACATCGTGCTCCAGTCGCTGTGCCGCGCCGGCGAGACCGCCCGCGCGCTGGAGATCTTCCGCGGGGAGATGGCTCGTGACAGCGTAGCTCCCACCACAACACCAATGGGCTGTGCAAGAGCAACGAGCTTGGCGCAGGGATGGAGCTCTTCGAGGAGCTCGTGAAGAGAGGCCACCACCCCGACGTGGTGACTTACAACACGCTGATCGACAGCTTGTGCAAAGCCGGGGATCTGGAGGAGGCACGGCGGCTCCATGGCGACATGAGCTCTCGAGTGTCGAGATGTCAGTCTCGATCAGATGACGTGGCATGTCCACGTGGTCATGAGTCATGTCCCTTGAGTCATGTAAAAAGAGTCGGAACACAATGAACGAGCTCATGAGTGTTATGTCCATCCCTTTTTACACCACAACATCGAGGTTGCGTCCCAAACGTCGTCACCTACAGCGTGCTCATCAACGGGCTGTGCAAGGTCGGCCGGATCGACGAGGCGCGAGAGCTCATCCAGGAGATGATGCGGAAGAGCTGCGACGTTCTTCCAAACATCATCACTTACAACTCGTTCCTCGACGGCCTTTGCAAGCAGTCCATGATGGCCGAGGCGTGCGAGCTGATGAGGAGCTTGCGAGATGGGAGCTTGAGAGTCTCTCCAGACACCGTGACTTTCAGCACGCTGATCGACGGGCTGTGCAAGTGTGGCCAGACCGACGAGGCTTGCAACGTCTTCGACGACATGATTGCAGGTGGCTACGTCCCAAACGTGGTGACTTACAACGTGCTCATGAACGGGCTGTGCAAGACCGACAAGATGGAGAGAGCCCACGCCATGATCGAGAGCATGGTGGACAAGGGCGTCACCCCGGACGTGATCACCTATAGTGTACTCGTCGACGCCTTTTGCAAGGCCTCCCACGTCGACGAGGCTCTGGAGCTCCTCCACGGCATGGCGTCGCGGGGATGCACGCCAAACGTGGTGACTTTCAACTCGATCATCGACGGACTCTGCAAGTCGGACCAATCGGGCGAGGCCTTCCAGATGTTCGACGACATGACGCTCAAGCACGGCCTGGCCCCAGACAAAATCACGTACTGCACCTTGATTGATGGTCTCTTCCGGACGGGGTGGGCGGGTCAGGCCGAGGTGCTGCTCGACGCCATGCCCGACCCGGACACGTACGCTTTCAACTGCTGTATCAACGGACTTTCCAAGCTCGGGGACGTGTCGAGAGCACTCCACCGGATGCTGGAGCTGGAGCTCGTGCCTGACAAAGTCACCTTCAACATTCTTATCGCGGGGGCTTGCAAGGCTGGCAACTTCGAGCAGGCGTCCGCACTCTTTGAGGAGATGGTGGCCAAGAACTTGCAGCCAGACGTGATGACTTTCGGCGCGCTCATCGACGGGCTGTGCAAGGCGGGACAGGTGGAGGCCACATGGGACATCATGTAGATCTGTGATTTTGTGTATGCGGAATGCTCTGTCGACTTCATTGCTTTGGTATGGTTATGTACATAACGGTATGGGTGTGACGCTTGGCGGTTGGTGTCTTGGATGAATGACTTGTCTTCTTTGCTGATGTGGAGACTTGTCATCACTTATCTCCACACTCCTCCTCAAGGCTCGCACCATCAGTCAAACGGAGTGATTTGAGGAAGAGTTCATGCTTCACTCGAGGCAAGGACTTCGTCAGGATATCAGCGACCATTGAGCTGGTCGGACAGAATTCCAGGTTGATTGTTCCATTGTTGACTTGATCCTGGATGAAATGGAACCTCAACTCAATGTGCTTGGTGCGTGAGTGAAATCTCGCATCCCGAGTCAACGCTATTGCCGACATATTGTCGCAGTAGAGTTTGACTGCTGGAATTTGAATCCCGAGGTCCTGCAGCAACGTCTTAAGCCAGATGGCCTCTTTCGCTGCTGCTGCAGCTGCGACGTATTCAGATTTGCATGATGACATCGCAGTGATCTGCTGCCTCCTGGAACACCAACTAACCACGTTATGGTTGTACATAAAGACATACCCTGAGGTGGATCTTCTGTCATCTGGATCTCCTGCCCAGTCTGCATTTGTGAATCCCACCAGGCCATTGTCTCCATCTCCTCTTGCATATTTCAGTGTGAATTTCCTTGTGCCACTCACATACCTCATGATCCGCTTCACAGCGGCCCAATGTGAGGGTGATGGATTGTCCAGGAACTTTAAGACTGCTCCCACACTGAATGCGAGGTCAGGCCTAGTTGAGACCATCAAGTAGATGAGGCTCCCGACCACTGAACGGTACAGTGTTGTGGTCTCCTCCTCGGGAGTGTCATCAGAGGTTGATGTCAAACTAAAAGCCTTGGACAACTTGGAGCTTGCTTCCATAGGAGTAGCCACCGGATTAGCGTTAAGCATAGAGTACCTCTCCTATGAGAGCTCAAGTACTCCACGTTGCCTATCCCAGCGGACTTGAATTCCCAGACAGTAGTGCAAGGTTCCCAAATCGGTCATCTCGAATTTAGCAGCGAGAGAGGCCTTGATGCGGTAGATGAGTTGCATTTGGTTGGAGGCTAATATTGTATCATCCACATATAAGGCTAAGAATAGAAATCCTTGGCCATCTCGATATATGTAGAGATTATTATCAGCCATGCTGCGAGTAAAGCCCAACGAGGTCAGAAAGCTGTTAATTTTAGTGTACCATGACCTGGGGCTTTGTTTCAGCCCGTAGAGAGCCTTGTGCAAGCGGCAGACGAGATGCTCTTGTCCGGGAGGTATAAACCCAGGAGGCTGGGCAACGTACACCTCCTCCTCAAGATCACCGTTCAGGAATGCAGTTCTCACATCAAGTTGATGGAGCTCCAGGTTGAGCTCAACTGCAAGGCTCATCAAAACACGAATTGTTGTCAGCTTTACAACCGGGCTATAAGTTTCAGAGTAATCAACTCTCTGGATCTGAGAGAAACCACGAGCTACATAGCATGCCTTGTAGCACTCGATGCTGCCATCAGCTCGATATTTCTTCTTGAACAGCCACTTGGCTGTGACTGCCTGGAGGGGAACCAATGTCCAGGTTCCATTCTTGGTCAGTGAGTCATACTTGTCCTGCATGGCCGCTTGCCAGTGTGAGGCATCAGGACTGGAGAGAGCAGCTTGGTAGCCACGAGGTTCAGCAATGGAGCTCATGGCCTAGTAGAATCCCTTCTTGCGTGGAGCTTGAGCAAGAGATTCTAGAGCTTTGACCGTTGGCTTGCTCACTCCTCTTGAACAGGTAATAGCTCCAATCTCTTGACGAGGTGGTGGTGTCATGAGAGAATTTGGAGGAGGTGAGCAAGAAGATCCTCCAATTGTTTCTTCACCAACAAACAACTCGTCCACAGTAGCAGCAAGATTCTGCTCATTGGATGAAGTAGTGTTGCTGCTAGTAGCCACCGAAGTGACCAGAGGAGCTGGTAGCAGCGGAGTTGCTAGAGAAGGCTCATCACCAAGTGGAGGAGGTGTTCCTTTGTTTGGAACGAGCAGCCTCTGGACTGCTGGTGCTGGTGGGTGGGTGAGCTCGTCTTCCAGCACTAGGGTCAAGTCCACCAAGTTAGAACTTGAAGGAATAGTACCTTGAATGTGGCGATAAAGCTCTTGCTCATTGAAAGAAACATCTCGGTTGACCATGAGCTTCTTGAGAGCAAGATTATAGAGGCAGTAGGCCTTGGAATGAGCATGATAGCCCACAAAGATGGTCTTTTGGCTCCTAGGATCCAGCTTCTGCCGAGTCGCATCTGGAATGCAAGCATACGCTGTGCAGCCGAAGACCTCAAGTGCCCTAACTGAGGACGCTTCCCAGTCCAAGCTTGGTAAGGAACCACACCAGTGCTCCTTGTGGGAAGGCGGTTATGAATGTAAACAGCTGTGTTAATGGCTTCACCCCAAAAGGAGTTGGGTATGCCTGTGTGCTGGAGAAGGCAACGAATAGTCTCTAGTAGAGTGCGATTGAGGCGCTCTGCCACACTGTTCTGTTGGGGAGTATGGGCTGTCGTGTACTAGTGAACAATGCCAGCCTTAGCTAGAAAGTTGAGAAACTCTTTGTTCAGGTACTCTCCACCACCATCCGTGCGTAGCACATGAATCTTTCGGCCAATAGACGTCTCATCCCAGCTCTTAAAAAGCTTAAAGTGGTTGAACACTTCGCTCTTGGCGTGGAGAAGGCTCACCACAGCATATCTGGAATGGTCATCGATAAAAGATACAAAGTACCTCTTGCAGCTGAGTGTTTCCACGGGCAGGTAACACACGTCACTGTGAACCAGATCCAGTAAGCTTGTAGCTTGGTCCTCCATGGTTCTCAATGGAAAAGGAAGGCGAACTTGCTTCCCAAGATAGCAAGTTTCACACATGCCCAGATGGCCAGCTAGGAGCGTGATGCCTTTAGCATGCTGGTGACGAGCCAAGGCATGCAGATCTCGTTCATTGACATGCCCCAGACGAGCATGCCAGAGCTCAATGGTGTCTTGCGCTCTAAAAGCAAGCACTTGAGCTGGAAAAACCAGTTCTGCGTTTAAACAGTAGAGTGTTTCATACCTCACGCCATTGGCTACAGGAGTACCATCACAACCATGGATGGTGCACCTTTTTGGGAAGAAGGTGGTAGTAAATCCTTGATCTGAGGCTGCTCTTATAGAAAGAACCGTTTGCCCTACTTCAAGTACAAAATGCACGTGATGAACCTCCTTAAGAGGTCCATTGGATAGCCTGATCACCACCATGCCACGACCTTCCATCTGGAGTGGTCGCTTGTTGCCGACATAAATCTGAGCTTTATAAGTGTGAAAGGCAAACCTTAAAGGAGTCATGTGAAAGGAGGCACCACTATCCAGCCATAGAACCTCAAGAGTAGACACCAGTGATGGGTAAAGAGCCATCATCAACAACGAGTTGCTCTGGGTAAGCATGCGCTGGGTGGCAGCCTTCTTTGCACGACACTCACGCTCAACATGCCCCATCTTTCCACAATAGTTGCAAAGACCTTTTTTCTTCTTGGAGAAGTCAGGACTGGGAGTTGTAGCAGAAGAGATATGAGGCCCACGGCTAGTGTCTCCTTTCCTCTACTCCCCACTCGATTGTTTCTTTCCAAGAAACAAGGCTTGCTCGTGAGCAACCTGAGGGGATCCTTGATGGCCAGCTTGATGCTCGGCAATCTTGCGCTCTTCCTCGAGCAGATCAGAGTAAAGCTCCTCCATGGTTTTGCCTGGGACAAAAGAAAGCATGGAGGACGATTGTTGCAACTTTGGGGATACAGAGTAGAGCAAGAAGGCTTTTGCATACTCATTGGAAACTACAGCACCTACTTCCTTCAGCTGCTGCATTAAGCCCTTGAGCTTCCCGATGTATATTGCCATTGTCTCACCAGGCTGCATGCGTAGGGAGAAAAATTTCTGGGTCAGAACCAATTTAGCATTAGCGGCTTTGGCTGCAAAGACTTGGGAAAGGGAGTCCCAATTTGCCTTGGCGGATTTTTCTAGATCAAGGAGATGAATAAATTCATCTCCAAGACCCAGTCCAATCACGGAAAGGGCTTTGTGGTTTTTGGAGTCCTAAGTAGCCTACAAGGCTGCTTCTATATCTTGAGGTCTCACTTCAGTTCCCTCCACCAAATCCCAACAATCTTTTGCCATTAAGATTAATTGGACTTTGGTCTTCCAAGTCGTGAAGTTCTCACCCGTGAACTTCTGGAGTAGCTTCTCCCATCCTGCATCCCAGTTGCCAGCTGGGATGGCCATGGTGCTCGCTAGGGTGGTTCTAGATGTAGTGCGAGGTCGAGTACTGGTAGCCATTAGTTTCTAGGAGAAAAGGAGAAAACAGTGGAGTAAGCTAGAAGCGAGGAGGGGGAGGAGGCGGTGGGAATCGTTGGAAGGGACGCCCACACGCCGTGCACACAGAGCAGAGGCACGGCTGAACATCACGCTGCGCTCGCTTGCGTTCTTGAATCCGTCGTTCCACCCTAGCAAGGACTGCGAGAGCCCTAGCGCGGTCCTGCTCGTCGCGTTGCTGTGTTTGCCAGTGTTTCGCCATCAAGATTGAAACAAACCCGATACCTTGTAGATGTGTGATTTTGTGTATGCAGAATGCTCTGTCAACTTCATTGTTTTGGTATGGTTATGTACATAACGGTATGGGTGTGACGCTTGGCGGTTGGTGTCTTGGATGAATGACTTGTCTTCTTTGCTGATGTGGAGACTTGTCATCACTTGTCTCCACACATCCTCGATCTCATGGGGAATCTGGGAGTTCCTCCAAACGTGGTGACTTACAACGCGCTTGTCCACGGCCTGTGCAAGTCGGGCCGGATCAAGGAGGCCTGCGAGTTCCTAGAGGAGATGGTGAGCTCCAGCTGTGTGCCCGACTCCATCACTTACGGCTCACTCGTCTACGCACTCTGCCGGGCCTCAAGAACCAACGACACTCTCCAGCTCGT